CAAAGAGTGCCTTTGAGGCATTTCGACAAACACTTAGCATGCGCTAGTGTTGTCAAAGTGGTTGTAGAGATGAGGGATTGCCTCATCCTCCCCAAATCGGCTTGGGGATTTCATGTTATCACCCTTGTACCCAACAACAATATCAATCCTATGGGGTTTATGGGATTAGGGAAAGCAAGCAATTTGATGCTATAAATACATACCCAAAATTAGAGGAATTTCATTTCTTAACTCAATTCAAATTTTTGATTGATGAAAGAGTTAGGAACATACCTTAGATGCTTAGGAGGATTGAAATGTTCCTCAATTGATGTCTCAAGTGAGTGAAAGAGTGGATGCAAATCGTCTTGAATGAAATTTGTGTGTGAGGGGAAGGGAAAAATGGACGGGTAGTGTAGTGTGTTTAGTGAGGTGTGTGTCTTTTTGTAGTGTTTTAATATAAAGAGGTTAGAAAAAAAAGTAGTATTTTAATATAAATAAGTTAGAAAACAAAGTAGTGATTTAATATAAAGAAGTTAGAAAACAAAGTAGTGTTTTAATATAAAGAGGTTAGAAAACAAAGTAGTATTTTAATATAAAGAAGTTAGAAAAATAAGCTTAAAAAATATTAAAACACGTTACCTGGCGAGGCGAACTACTTAGAGAGCTTACAAGCAGGAGACGCGAGCTCCTTAGCGAGCAGAAAAACAGGTGGCGCGAGGGTTGCCGCGAGGTGGACCTTGCTACAACCCATGCGATGTGAGGTCCATAGCGAGCTGGTGGTCTGGCTGGGCGAGGTTTGATGCGTGATATTGAAAAGCAAAGAAAACTGACCTTGCGATAACCTGCGCGACGCGAGGCAAAAATGAGCTCTGTCTCGCTATAACCCGCGCAATGTGAGGCTAACGCGAGGTACTGCTTAGCGAGCTGGTTCATTTGCGACGCATGGTTTAATGCTAGGTTTTGCTCACTGTATCCCTTGCGACACGAGTTTAATAGCATGCTTAAGACCTGGCGATGCGTGGTGTTTAGCGAGAAAGGGAGTGGTTTGTTGTGCTTAGGTTGGGCAAGCTCCCAAGCAAGCAATGGACAGTAGGTTTACAACAATGGACAATAGGTGATGTGGGGTGCGTGCATGGGGGCTGGCCATCTGAGTTTTTACAACGAAAATGGGAGATGGCCAGGCGAAACCAATAGCGAGCTAGAAACATGGTTGGCGAGGATTTCAGCGAGTAAAGGACCGTGCGAGGCGATCTCTAATGCGTGCTAAAAATCTGGCGACGCGAGATCCCAGCGAGAAACTTACCTGGCGAGGCAAGCTCCTTAGCGAGCTGCGAAGCTGGCGGCATGAGGCATAACGCGAGGTCCTTTCCTGGCTATACGAAGTCTGCTGCCAGATTTTACTCGCTGTTTCCCTTGCGACTCGAGGCTGCCACGATATTGGTCTCGCTATAACCCTCGCTGGGCGAGCTCTATAGTGCGCTGAAGACTGGGCGACGCGAGCTGAAAATCACGTTGGGCAGCAGGCGATGCAAGCTATGCCGCGTGGTGAAATGTTTGCAATGCGAGGTTTGCTTCCAGGTGCACTGTGCATTAAACTGGGTGACGCGAGGTACGCAACGTTGTTTGGAGCGTACGCATGTAATTTTTATTTTGTTTTGTGAACGACTCCTCGCGCCATGACTTTCCATCATGCTCCATTACCTGTTCAGATACCAAGATTTAGCTAAAAACTTGTTAGTGCAAAAAAAAAAAAACGAAAATTTATAGTTAAGCTAAAATAAACTACGAATTGGGTTGTCTCCTAACGAGCGCCTGATTTAATGTCGTGGCATGACGCATGCAATCAAACTTAAGGTTCACTCAACAATTGAGGCTCCTTCAAATGAATCACCGATACAACATTTTCCTCATCCATGCTAAGGTAATGTTTCAACCTTTGCCCATTAACTCTAAACCTGTTCGTTCCATCCTCAGATTCAATTTCTACAGCTCCACTTCAGAGTACTTGCACCACTCTAAATGGTCTCGACCATCTAGATTTTAGCTTACCTGGAAATAGTTTCAATCTTGAATTATACAACAACACGACATCTCCGGGTTTGAAAATCCTCTCTTGAATATGCTTGTCGTGCATGATCTTCATCCTTTCCTTGTACAACCTGGTGCTTTCAAAAGCATGGTAACAGAACTCATCGAGTTCATGAAGTTCTGTGACTCTACTCGTACCAGCGGCCTCTATGTCAAGATTTAATTGCCTTAATGCCCAAAAATCTCTATGCTCTAGCTCCACCAGTAAGTGACACACCTTTCCGAACACCAATTAGTACGGTGACATACCAATCGGAGTTTTGAATGAAGTGTGGTAGGCCCATAGTGCATCATCCAATTTTTTCGCCCAATCAGTCCGAGTAGCATTTACAGTTTTGGTCAAAACACTCTTGATTTCTCGGTTTGACACCTCAACTTGACCACTTTTTTGTGGGTGATACGGAGTGGCAACCTTATGGCGTACGCCATATTTTTCCAGCAACTTTGCGAAGGCTCGGTTGCAGAAGTGAGTTCCTCCATCACTAATGATCGCTCTTGGAGTTCCAAATAGGGTGAAGATATTTTTTCTTAGAAAACTAATAACTCCCTTTGCATCATTTGTTGGGAGTGCTACAGCTTCTACCCATTTCGAGACAAAGTCCACTGCTACTAGTATATACTTGTTGTTGTATAAGCTAACAAATGGTCCCATAAAGTCGATTCCCCATACATCAAATACTTCCACTTCTTGGATTGGTTCATGGGCATCTCATGTCAACGGGAAATATTCCTCGTCCTTTGACACTCATCACAAATCTTTACCCAAATGTGTGCATCTTTAAACAACGTCGGCCAATAGAAGCCCGACTCCAAAACTTTAGCAGTTGTCCTTACTCCTCCGAAATGACCTCCATAAGGCAAAGCATGACATGCCTGCAAACTAGAAGTCTATCTCGGGAATACATCTCCGGATCATGTTATCAATACAAATCCGAAACAAATATGGTTCATCCCAGAAATAGATGCGATAATCACGAAAGAACTTTTTTTCTGCACAGAAGACAATTCATAAAGAACAATATTGCTTGCCATGTTGTTTGCAATGTCGGCATACCGTGGCACTTCCTCAAGTCTCGTGGCTAACAGTTGTTCCTCCGGGAAAGTCTTCATGATCTCTTCCACCTAAACCTTCATTTCAGCTCTTTTAAGCCTGTACAAGTGATCAGCAACTTGGTTTTTCGTTCCTTTTTGGTCACGAATTTTCAAGTCAAACTCTTGCAGCAGTAGAACCTATCGAATCAGGCACGACTTTGCTTCCTTTTTATCAATTAGGTACCTGAGAGCAGCATGGTCAGTATAAACAATTACCTTCGAGCCTATCAAGTAGTACCGGAATTTGTCAAATGTGAACAACACTGCTAGCATCTTTTTTTCTGTCACTATGTAATTCAATTGGGCGCCATTCAATGTTCTACTTGCATAGTAGATTGTATGCATGATTTTATATTTTCTCTGTCCAAGTACTGTTCCCACGACATGGTCACTTGCATCACACATCAACTCAAATGGTTGCTCCCAGTCAGGTACAACTATGATAGGTGCAGACACTAGACTCTTCTTTAATCCTTCGGAAGCTATCCTACAGTCATCAGAAAACACAAAAGAGTGATTGTTTTCAATCAATTTACACAAAGGATTAGCAATCTTGGAAAAATCTTTTATAAACCGCTTGTAAAATCCGGCATGACCAAGGAAATGTCTTATTGCCTTGACGAAAATGGGTAGTGGCAGCTTCTCTATTACATCAATCTTGGCACGGTCCACCTCAATGCCCTTACTTGACACTAGGTGTCCCAAGACTATACCTTCCTGTACCATAAAATGGCATTTTCCCAGTTCAACACCAAATTAGTCTCCATACATCTTCGCAACACTCTTTACAGATTTCTAAGGCAATTATCAAAAGAATTTCCCACCACTGAGAAATCATCCATGAAAACCTCCATTATATCCTCAACTATATCTGTGAAGATGGCCATCATGCACCTTTGGAATGTGGCGGGTGCATTGCATAGACCAAAAGATATTCTCCGAAAAGCGTAAATGCCATATGGACAGGTGAATGGCGTTTTATCTCTATCCTCCGGGGCAATAGATATATGGTTGTACCCTGAGTATCCATCCAAGAAGGAAAAATGGGACCTTCATTCCAATCTATCTAGCATCTGATCAATGAACGGCAAGGGGAAATGATCATTTCGGGTGGCCTTGTTCAATCTTCTGTAGTCCATGCAAATTCGCCATCCCGTGACTATTCTTGTTGAGATTAATTCATTGTTCTCATTTTGCACAACAATCATCCCACCTTTCTTTGGCACACATGGAACTGGGCTAACCTAGTTGCTATCTGAGATGGGAAAAATAATTTTCGCATCTAACCACTTGATCACTTCCTTCTTTATAACTTCCTTCATGTTAGGGATCAACCTTCTTTTATGTTATCTTGAAGGTTTGTGCCCATCTTCCAGTAGAAGTTTATGCATGCAGAAGGCCGGGCTGATACCCTTAATGTCTGAAATGGTCCAACCAATTGCATTCTTGCACTCTTTCAACACCTGCAAAAGTTGTTTTACCTGCACATCTATATAACCAGATAAGATAAAAACATGCAAAGTTGAATTAGGTCCCAAGAAAGCATACCTGAGGTGAGATGGTAGCGGTTTCAGCTCCAATTGTGGTGGTGCTTTGATCGATGGCTTGGCTGGAGGGTTCTTTCTTTCTTCCGAGTGTAAAGGCTCGAATTCGAGCTCTCTTTTTCAGTACCCTTGCCCTTGAAGAAACAACACCCATTCCGCCAAGTCCTCACCATTTACTTCTTCTAAGTTCATAAGGCAGGCTGTTAGATGGTCTTTTGCATTAAGTGCCTCATCATCTTCCTCTATGATTACATCCACCGTGTCTAACAAAGAGCAATTTGCAAACTCACTGGGTCACTGCATAGACTTTTGCACATTAAATGTTATTTCTTCATTATTCAGCCTCATCTTCAGCTCCCCCATTTCACAATCAATCAGAGCTCTCCCTGTGGCCAAGAATGGCCTTCCCAAAATTATAGGAATCTCCTCATCAACCTTACAGTCCAGAATGATAAAATTTGCTGGAAACACGAATTTTTCAAGCTGCACAAGTACATCGTCAAGTATACCTGATGGCCTTTTCACCGTTCGGTCAGCTAGTTGCAGTAACACGGATGTAGGCCTTGCTCTTCCAATGCCTAACTTTTTATATATAGACAATGGCATCCGATTTATACTTGCTCCCAAATCACACAATGCTTTGGCAAATGCATAGCTATCTATGGTGCATGGAATTGTGAAGCTTCGAGGGTCGGATAACTTCTCAGCTATAGGTCTTGACACAACAGCACTACAAGTCTGTTTCAATGTGATAGTTTCCAAGTCTTGGAAGTCGAACTTGCGAGACATCAAGTCCTTCATCATTTTTGCATAACCGGGCATCTCCCTCAAATCATCAATTAGAGGAATGTTTACCTGAATTTGCTTCAGCATTTCCATGAATTTTTTGTACTGTTCATCCTTCTGATATTTGGCCAAGCTCTGCGGGAAGGGTGCTGGAGGTCGCTTCTTTTCTTTGGCTTGAGTTAGATCCTGCTCAGGCACTTTTTCTGAAAACCTTCTCTTGCATTTTCTCAGTCTCTTCCGCAACTTCTTTTTCCTTGTTTATTTCCATGTGGGCTGGTTGCATTCTTACTTATGTTAGCCCGGTTGACTCATCTAACTCAATTGGCACTGACACAAGTGTTTCAGTTGACCGGCTCTCACGAGCAATTTCTTGCTTTAAATCAAGATCTCTACCATTTCTCAAGCTCACCGCCATAAGCGGCTTTAGGCCCTGCTCTTTTGGATTGACATGTGTGTCCGCAGGTAACGTCCCTTGAGGACGATTATTAAGGGACATGGATAATTTCCCTAGTTGAATCTCAATGCCCTTGATAGCCGAATCATGTGACAATACCTTTTCTTGCATTTGGTGGACCTTTTCTTTCATTTTCCTGCTGGCCCCAATGAGTTGTTGCAACATTCCTTTAATTTTTGATAACCCATCATCCTGCCTCACTATCTGCCGTTGTTGAGGTTGTTGATAAGTTAGCTGCTGAATTTGCTGGTTGTATCCTTGTTGCCTTTGGTAAGGTACACTACTTGACCCTATGGTCACATAACTCTAGGATTTTTGGTATTATTGTACTGTTGTTGTGCCGGTCTATACTGCTGATTTTGCTGCCCCCAATTCTGACCATCTTGTCTCTGTCCTCCATAGTTGCACACATAGTTCATGTTCTCTTAATAGTTCTGGTTGTCACTTTCACCACTCCACGAACACACGTATGGTTGGTTAATGCATGGTGTACATAATCCCTCATTAGTCATGTCAACTATGTGTACCTGCTTTTGGCCTGATTCATCAATCTTCTTGGTGAGGATACTCATTTGCGTCATCAGAGTGGCCATATTTTCGGCTATGGAATTGTTCGGGTCCAATGCTACTGAGTGAACTATAGGGGGTGATTGTGGAATCTCTTGTCATCCATCCCGAGTTTTGAGCCATTTTATCTAGCAGGACCTTACACTCTCTAAATGACTTGCTTAAAAATGCTCCACCTGCTGAAGCATCAACATTGGCCTTCAAGTTGTCCGCTAATCCCATGTAAAACCGTTGTCCCAACATCTAATATGGAATGCCATGATGTGGACACTTAACCATCATACCTTTGAATCTCTCCCACGTTTCTTATAATGTTTCATCTGGTTTCTGCCTGAAGCTCAATATCTCATCAACCTGCTTGGCAGTCTTATTGGGTGGGTAGAACTTATTCAAAAACTGCTTGACTAATTCCTCCCAAGTTGTGATGGAATTTATGGGGAGCGAATTAAGCCAAGTTTGGGCTTCTCCTGCCACTGAGAATTGAAACAACAACAGTCTTATTGCTTCCGGTGTCACATTTAGTTGACTTTGCGTGACACAAATTGACAGAAAATTTTTCAGATGCTACTGTGGATCTTCAATGTAAGACCCGTAGAACAGTCCCTTATTTTGCAGCAGATGTAGCATGTTGTTTGTGATTTGAAATGATTCCTCTTGTATCCGAGGGACTGCAATTGCAGTTGCCAAATTTTCAGCAGTGGGTTGTGCCCAATCATACAAAGCTGCTTCACGCACAAGAGGTGCCACACCTTGATTTTTTGGGTCATTCACATTGTTTCGATTGTTTTGATTATCCAAAGCATCGTCCATGTCTGGTTCAATTTGTTCTCTTGGATGATGATGTTGTTTGTCTTTCTTGTTTGCATGATTTAATGCCTTGAAAGTTTTTTCAAGATCCGGTAATGCTTCAAATAATTTACCAGTTCTTGAAGAGTTTCTAGGCATATACCTATAACACACAAGACCACAAACATTAGAATTTCAATGTAATGAATAAAAATGAAGAAAATTGACTAAACTAAGAATCCTAACAATTCTTATATCTGTAATTAGTAACACTGTTGCTTCCCCGGTAACGACGCCAAAATTTGATCACCCCCAACTATGCCTCCTAAGAGGTCTAGCGGTCGTTGCAAATATAATCCGGTTTACAAGTTCGGAGTCAAATCCCATAGAGAAATAACGTGTTAATTACAACTAGCATGAATTCAAGTAATCAACCTTCAGAAATATTATAAAACAATTCGAGAGTTTACTAAATAAGATCAAAATAATTATAATGTAGTAATTTATAACTAACAAGGCAAATATTGTACACAAGATTTGGAAAAGTCTAAGGTTATAATTTTTTCTATTGTCGGAATCTTCTCCGCTACGTTTCCTATAAATTCGCCTAAATATTTTCTACCGATCGTGAATACTTTAAGTGTCGTAGCTCTCTCTCGAGTAACTACTACAATTTACTAGACGTATTCTCTCGAACTACGTTAGCTGACACTAATTTACCGCTCACGACGATCGCACCAAGGCTTCGTTATCTCTATTCTTGCCTTTGAACCCTCCGTATCGATCTCTCAACTACGTTAGGAGTGATTTTGTTCAACAACTACTTAAATGTGCACTATCTCTCGAGCAATATACACACTAAATAGGCACAATTAATTGAGAGCTCTTCAATTAATAACAATGAATATATAGTTGAACAAGTAGAGAAAAATCAAAGGCAAATCTATATTAAACGCAGTAAAGAATCATCCTCCAATAGGTTCCATCAAACCTTAGATAAAAGAGTTTAGCTACTCATAAATACAACATCAATCAACATAATGTTTAAAGACATGAAACTACAAAGTAAAGATATAAAGGAAGGAAAAACTCGTTTGATTCTTGCTCCACAGTGCTTGGCAGCCTATTTCTTCTCCAAAATCATGTCCAACCCTAGAATAACTCATTTGGGGAGTATTTATGTCAATCCCCCGGTCCAAATTCAGGTTTGGATCTTTTAACCCGCTACTTTTAATTACCGTGCTATAGACCTCGCGAAGCCTGGTCTATAGTGCGGTCGACCTGGCTATAGACCTCGCGAAGCCTGGTCTATAGCGCGGTCGACCTGGCTATAGTCCTCGCGAAGCCTGGTCTATAGCGCGGTCTACCTGGCTATAGACCTCGCAAAGCCTGGTCTATAGCACGGTCAACCTGGCTATAGACCTCGCAAAGCCTGGTCTATAGCACGGTCAACCTGGCTATAGACCTTGCAAAGCGTGGTCTGTAGCACAATTTAGATACTTGATGCTTTTGTGCTCTTTTCTTGTATTTTTGTCCTCTTTTTGTGCAATTTTCATTGGATGATTCCTTCCGATGTTGCTACACATAAAACAACATAATTTAGCTCAAATATAGGGCGAGTAATAATGTGCTAAAAGTAAAGCATTTTGGCATCACATCAGCAACTCAAGAGTTTCAAATCCTCTGAAGTATTTTTAATTTCTAAATTCACTTAGTTATATTATTTAGTGCTTTTGATGTAGGTTTTGACTCTCAGATTCCTATTAAATAATTATTATTAATAGCTACAGTTCAGCTACTTTTATTTTTAGTACGAGACAAATACTAAAAAAATCCAAAGATTATGGATACTTAAATACATATTTTTGAACGATCTTTATATTTAATTTCAAATATTGATAAAATTTCAGTGAAAGTATTTGAAAATTTATTGCAGAAAATTTAGAATATGAAACGATAACGACCGAAATAATTGGAGCGGAAAGATCTAAGTGATTTACTCAATAATTAATATTTTGATTTTGTAACAGTTTGGTTATATTCTTTCTGCAAGTTAAGTGTCTTACTGCCCTATTCGTAGCCGATATGATCGTATTCAAGTGAAAGTTATATTTAATTTTTTTTAAAAACAAGGAATTAAATATCCATATAATATACGATAGAAATTATCACATTTGAGAAATACTCTTTAAGTACATAAATTTTTAATCAGTATCATTAGTTTGGGTTGAGTGTCTCTGCCAGCTTGGTGAGTATTCATGGGTTTAAAATTTAAATCCATTAGTAGCATCCTTTACCTCTTTCCCTCTCACTTCACTATTGTAATAAATGTTCTTAAGCAAAATAAAACAAAATTGGTTATATAGAGTCGTGTGGATTGTGTGGTTTAGTTGGAGAAGGATTACATACTTAGGATGGGATTTGGCATGGACTTTAATTTCCCATTCGTGGGATAACATGTATTATGTGGTAAAATGGTTACTTTACTATTTGGTGTTATTTTCTTTATAGTGATGCTATTAAATGATAGTGAATGATTGTCATTCGTATCATACATGTATTTTCTTGTAGTGATGCTATTAAATGATAATGAATGATTGTCAGTCGTATCATACATGTTAATACCAAGATTACCTTAAACAAATCATTTTTGAAGTATTTTTTTTATCAATGTTTAAAGTAGATAATAGCAATTAATTAGGAAGCAATACGAAGAAAAAAAAGATAAACTTAAGCAACCAATTTTTATACTTGAAATTGTTCTTCCAGATAGATAATTCATATTAGATAAGGTTATGATGTTTAGGTTTTAAAGTCAACTAATATTCTTATTTAAAAGAAAATGACGGCAATAATTGAAAATTTGTTGTTTAACTTGGATACATTTAACTAATATTCTCATTTGTATTGCTGATAAACTGAGATTGCAAGGGTGAGGATCAAAATTTCTTATTATTGACTACTTGGCTAATGCTAACTTTAGGACCTTTTTCTCCTTTTATTCACTCATTAAATTGCTCCCTAAGGATGATATTAGGTACTTGCTGAGCTAAATGTATACGCATTGGTAATTATCTTCGGAAATCGATTGAGTTGTTCTAAGATCATCATTTAGGCCTATTTAAGTTGTGTTACTTCCTAACTATTAATTCCGACTCTTTAAAAATAATATTTTGATTTGAAACACTTTTCATTTTTCAATCATTAATATGATTTCCTAAGCAACGTCTATATCTCATTTTGTTATTTGATTTTACTTTTTGTCAATGTTCTATGCACGATAAATTATGTCTTTTCATATAATATTTTAATAATTAACTACGTGCAACACACATATATAGAAACTAGTTAATTTGATAAGTGCTTTTGAGCAGCAATTAATGTTTGGTCATTCTTTTAAAAGTACTTATAAGTATAATTGTTTTCAAAAATGCTTTTGAAAAAGGTATTTTTGGATAGAAATTATTTTTTTTCTTTTCAAAAACTGCTTCTACTTCTACTCAAAATATTTATTTTTCTTTCTAAAAGTTTGGCCAAATACTTTAACATAGGAAAAGCAAGCACTTTTGGCTCAAAAATTCAGTTTCGGCCAAAGGAAGCTTGGCCATATTATGAAAGAGTTTTGTAATATCTTTGCAGAAGGTTACCGCTCTTGGTTCAGGATCTTGTTGTTAAAGTGGTAATATTGAGTCCGGAACTAAAGTATGGTTCATTTGGACTCAAGAGACATAAATAGGTTAAAAAAAAATTGCGCACCATTTTATATATAGTGTTGTTATTCATCGCGCTATACTTTGACGTGGGGTACTCACACTAGTAAAATTGATTCCCAATTGGCATAACATGTTAGAACCAGTATTTTAAAAGGCGTAGGCGTAAGGCGAGGCATTTTACATATGCCTCAGCGGGGCGTAAGCCCCATATGTATTTAGTTTTTAATATTTTATAAAATAATATAATGACAGTAAATATTTAAAAACAGGTAAAATTGCATAAAAATTGAAAGAAACTATATATATGTGTGCTCCATCCCACAAAAAACTAATCAAAACAATCTATTATACGTTACTTACAAGCACAAGTAATTTGAGTTTAAAAGAATAAAGTTTTCTATATGGAGGAACAACAAGGATGATTAACCTGCAATTTGAACTTTGAATTTGCTGCTATGAAGAAGAATGTAGTTCTCTTTGTATTTGTAAATTTTTTTTAAATATTCGTTGCTTTTGGGAGATATTAGCAGACTAGCGGACAAGATAAAAAATTAAAAAAAACCATGAATTAGGGCTTAAAAAAATAAAGAAGATCTTTACTTTTACATTTAATACTTTTGAGTTCCTTTTTAAACCTTTTGAGTAATTACCAAACTGACTTTTGAGAATTTGGATATTATATGAAGGACTAATTCAACAAATTTTGTTTCAATTTGAAAAAGT